CGACTGAAAAGTAACTCAGCCCGACTCAGACAACTTACTGGGGTTATATTCGTAAAAATGTCTTCTGTTTTTTTGTTTGGTCACAGAGGACTATATTGTAATTTCATAGCCCTTTTAGGTTAGATTTGCATTTGATTCAAGTTGGGGTCTAGTATTGGGATTAAAACCAAGTTGTGGGTTAGTTTTGGCAAAAACCCCTATTAACTTTCTTTGTATTTAGGAAAATTGTAGAATGAATGTATGAGGATTAAATAATTATTTAATTCTCTTATGTGTATATCTGATAGATTGGGATAATTTAATCGGGAAAATCGCATAAAAAACCTTCAACGTGATACTTACTAGCACTTTAAACCTTGAAGTTTTTTCACTAGCACTTTAAACCTTCAAAGTGACATTTTTGTCACAAAAAACCTTAAACTTGAAATTCTGACCTGTTGAATAGGTCAAACAAGTCATTTATCAAGTATTTTTCGAAAAATAAATATTTAATAAATAATTTTTTTATAAATAATAAAAAATGAATAAAATCATTTAAATTTTCAAAAAAAAAAAAAAATTTCAGAATATAAAGAAATTTTTATAAAAAATAATTTCAAATACCAAAATTAAATAAAATTCTGAAAATTAAAACAAAAATGAAATAAAATTCACAAAATTGAACTTTTTGAAAATTCATTTGATTTTTATTTATTTTTTTGAATATTTTTTAAATTTATATTTATTAAATATTTCTTTCGCAGAAAAACCTGAAATTTACTTATTTTTTATTAGTTTTTTCAGAGAAAAAAATATTTAATAAATATATAAATAATCAAACAAATAAATAAAAATCAATTAATTTTCAAAAAAGTTAAAAATAAATTCTGAACATAAATAAAATTTCTAAAAATAAATAAATTGAAATATCCAAAATTAAATAAAACTCAGAAAATTAAACAAAATTTAAAGAAGATTCACTAAATTGAAAATTAAAAAGTTCAAAATAGTTTTTTGAAAATTACAAGATTATGTTTTAACTATTTGAAACAATGAACTACAACAGTGATATGTTTGAATTTTTTTGGCAACGATGATATGTCAATTTTATTAAAAATTGCCTAAAAATTACAAGATTTCTTTTTCAGAAATCTGAAATATTATAGTTGAGAATAAAAAATTTAAATATATCACTATTGACGATGATGGTTTCAAATAGTTTTCAAATTTTTATAATGTTTCTATATGTTCTGAAATTTTCTTTAATTTTTTAAAAATGTAATTTAGTTTTTGATTTTGATTTTGTTTTTGTTCAATTTTGTGAATTTTCTTTAATTTTTGTTTAATTTTTAGAATTTTATTTATTTTTTGGTATTTGAAGTTATTTTTTTAATTTTTCTTTATGTTATGAAATTTTCTTTAATTTTTTTGAAAATTTAATTGATTTTTAATCATTTTTTATTATTTCTTAAATATTTATTTTTTGAAAAATTGATAACTAACTTGTTTGACCTGTTCAACAGGTCACATTTTCAAGTTCAAGGTTTTTTGTGACACGAATGTCACTTTGAAGGTTTAAAGTGATAGTGAAAAAACTTCAAGGTTTAAAGTGCTAGTAAGTGTCACTTTGAAGGTTTTTTATGCGATTTTCCCTAATTTAATCCTAATAAATATTTTAATAATTAAATAATGTTTAACATCTTTTGCTAGAATAAGGAAATTGGAAATAAATATATAAGTTATAAATAATGTTGACTGATATTTATTTATTTAGATAAAAATATACATTTACGATTATTAGTTATCTTCTACTTAATCTAATTACAACATAAATTAATAATGTTGAGAATATGATATATATTATATCACATATATTAATTTATAATTGTTAGAAATCTTTCAAAATTTGATTAATTTCAGTTTATTTCTTAATCCATAGATAGTATAGTCTAAATTGATGAATGTATATTTAATATATTTTAAAATTTTTATGTTGTTGTCATGCTATAATTTATTTTCAGTAATTATTAGTTAATATTATTAAAAATGTCAACTAAACTATTTGGCGAGTCTCTTTAGACTTTTATGTTTTAAAATATTTTATTAACATTGTTTTTCAAATACTTTCTTTGGTAGAAATTGCGTGAGATCTTCGTCCCTTAATTTTTATGTTATGTCGATTACCTCATTAAATTTTCATTACTGTGAATCTTATAATTTTTATCGTTGAATTGGATTAAAGACTTACAAAAAGTCACTTTGTACTTTGTTATATAGTCAGTGACCTTATTTTTAAGGAAGTATTGTAGATTACAACATTCTTTAGGTTTTGTTTCTAGTAGCCGTGATTAGTTTCTATGAAGGTTTAGATTATAATACTTTAAAAGTATTTATGTCAAAACATAACATAGTAGAATTATTAAAACTGTTAAAAAAATTTCCCAAATTTCATCATTTTAGTTTATTACTTAATATTCATAGATAGTATAGTCTCGATTGAAGAATGTATATTTGATATATTTTCTATGTTTGTATGTTGTTTTCAATACTATAATTTAATTTCAGTAATATGTTTTGATGAATAAATAAATATTTTAATTATTTTGATTGATAAAAAGTAGTCTGAAAGTCATAAATTGAGTGCTTTCTAGGTTCACGATAATAAATTGTTGCTTTATTTCAATCCTATCTGAAAGTTTTAAATGACATTTTTGTTTTCAATTAGTTATTATATTTGATAACTATTTTTTGTTTCATTTCGAAAAATTAATTATTTATATTAAGTTAATATATTTATAATGTTTTTAAGTTTGTTTGTTTACCTAGTTTATATAATATTGGTTTCTATTTATTTTGAAAGAAACATATTTTTGAAATATTGACAGTTTTTGAATATTAAACAAAAATTGATGAATAGCCACAGTTTGATTACTGGTTTTAAATTTATTGCGATGTTTTCAATGTCTTATAGATTCAAATTTTATAGTGTAGATAAAACAGATAAATCTTAGTAGCAGGCAAATATCTGAACTAATTTGCCTGCCTACACAATACAAAAACCACAACACAGCCACCCGCAGCAGGCTAGAATACCACAAAACAGTTAAAATGCCCTAAAACCAAAGGTACCTTCCATAACAAGAAACAAGTGAATAATTCCCCAAATACAGTACTATTAGAGATGAAGAGAGCTTATTTCGTCTGCTTTCCATAGCCCTTCCTCATAGTCATCCCAGCTTATGTTCCCTTCATCCTTCTCTGTCCTCTGACACATCACGCAAGTCTCGTACTCCATGCAAGTCAAGAACTGCTTCAACTTCGAACCCTCGTTCTTTATCTTCTTGTTAAGCTTCCTCACGATGATCCTCTTCTGTTTCGGGACGACAAGGTAAGAATGAGAGATGTTGAGAACCTCGAGGCTTTTAAGTTTATTCAAAATTGTTATGAGGGCATCTCGGTGTATGGCACTGCATCTGAGGCTAAGGACTTCGAGATTCGGGAGGAGACCTACAAGGGTCTTGGCGAAGTTGAGATCAATGGAACCCATTGTCTTGAGCTCTTTGAAGTTCTTGCAGTTCACGGCGATCGATTCAAAGACAACATGCGGGTCCGGGACGCTTGGTGTTTTACCTTTTTGGCAGTATTGTTTGGCATTGTTGTTCCAATCTGGTAGCACTAAGCGTCTCAAGTTGGGACACCTACAACACAACAAATTGAATAGAGAAAAATCATTGATTGCTTTAACGGTAATCACTGATTGAACATTTAATTAAATTCAATTTATTTGTACCTTTCTGCGGTGTAAGTAACCATTTCATCACTGAGAAACAAGTTGTAAGGGAATATCAAGGTGCTTATATTTCCCTTGCTAAGACTCAGGGAGAGTTTTAAGATCCGAGCCAGTTTACGTTCAGAGCGACGCATGGCGTGGAACATATATTGTGAAAGTGCTGTCGGGATGAATATAGGTTCCATGAGCGATAGGTCGAGCGTGTTCCAAAGAAGGGGATCGCAGCTAGCCGCACGCCATCCTCCACAGACATGAGCTAGTGCTAGTCCACTCGTTGTCCGCTCTTCAAGGCTGAAACAGTTATGGAATATCCTCACTAAGATTTCAACGTTCAGCTTTTCCCATCCGTATGATAGTTTTTTACGGTTTTCAGCCATTGTATAAAGCTTCAAAAGAAACATTATTGAAAGTTCATATTAAAAGACTATGTAATTAAGAGTTTTTATAACATTTTCACAACTCTTGTACAAGCAGAAGAAAAGTTAACCGAGTAATAAAGGCATCACTCTTTTTCTTTTTCAACTGATAAAAACATTTTTATGTAAAAACATATACAATCATAAAGATGAATAACTTCACCTACATACTAAGGAATCATAACCAGGTTTTAATTTTCAGAATGTATACCCAATCCATGTTCCCACAACAGTACATTTCTACCATGCATAGACCCTCGTTCAGTGCAAGCAAGAAAATTTTTGGAGGGTGAAAAAGTAAAAGTATAAACTTAAAAATGAATGAACTGAAATCAAACAAAATCAGGAGATTTCATATCAATCTCCACAAGGCAAAACTTAACTGCCAAAACATATAATCTCTCTTGAAAACAACAGAGATTTGAAAACAAGCATTAATCATCGAGTTAGAAAAAAAACAAGCATTAACTATTAATAAATTTTTCCAATAACATCAACTCTAGGGTTTTTTGTTTGACCATCGTTCTGATCAAATCTGCATAAAGGTTGCAAACTGTTAAAGCGAATAACAATCACACGTAGTTGACTCACAAAAGATATGTGAACATAATTGTGACGAATCTAATCAGACACTAGAAAAGATCCATTGACACCAAACATAGCCGTAGACTCAACGGGAAAACAAAGTTGCGAACCCCAGCAAACAATCTCTCAATATAGCGAACAAAAACGTTATTATAACAACAAATCGATATTGCAGCCTCACATGAAAAGAAATGAGAAAAGAAAGACAAACCTTGAATTACGACAAGGAAGGAGAACTCTGGACGAGAATAGTGGCGACTGTTGTAAGAAAATAAGTTAGTATTTACGTTTTATAACATGAGGAAGCGGCTGGTCATATCTATTGACCTATTTTTTAAATTAGGTGTACCAATAGAAATGAAGGAAAATACGTAAAAAAGCTTTTTATCTTATCAACATCTTTTCATATATATATATTGTTTCTAATCCCTTGTCCTTAATTTTTTGTTATGTTACATTTCCAAACTCTACATAAAATAGTTCAACTGGCTGAACCTGCTAAAAAGAATTAATTAAAAAATTAATTATTCACCACACAAAAGTAAATCGTGTCTTGCCCATATTCACATCTTTTCCTTTTCACTTTTTGATAACTATCTTGAAGTCACAAGGTCTCTGTTAACGATCTGCTCCACCGCTTCCTCTCCGCATGCAATCAAAAGCTTTTCCATCTCCTTCGTCCTCCATTTTCAGTCATGTTGCGCGTTTGAGTTCCACGTTAGAGTTTCAACGGCGGTTAGTAATACACCCTTTCTCTCCAACTTTAACCAAGTCAATTATTCTCAGATCTTCGAACCGGCTGTAAGTTCTCGGTGTTTTTACTTTGATCTATTAGGAACATAAGTTATTTTTGTTTGGACATAGCATACGATCTATTAGGAATATTAAGTTTCAGATGGAATAGCATGATCTGCAACGTATGTACTTTAGAATTTTTTATCAATAATTTGTTAGGCCTATTCTACTCAAAATGGAACAACACATGGGTTTCTCTTCTCTAGACATCGACTGAGCTCTATTAAAAAAAATTCTCTATGAGATGGAATAGAATAAATTTTAGATTCATACGATTCTATGTGAAAGGGAATAGCATGCGAAGAACGTATGTATTTTATAATTCCTTATCAACAATTTTGATGTTTACCATAAAAATTCCCTTCCTACATACAATATAATAGATTTCTTCACTAATTGTATAGCTTATCTCTACTAACTATTTTCTCATATTTTTTTGATTATGTTAGGTCTGACATGGACGAGTTGGACCTTCCAAGTAGATTGTTCCCGACAGGGAGTGAACCCACTGGAAAGAAAAGGGTTAACAGACAATCCAACCTCCGCTAAATTGAGATGATCAAGAACGCATTAGAGGGTTCATTCTTGTTCATTTTTATTTCATATTCTCTTGTTATGAGTTATGTATCAGTGTGTATATGTATTTTATATTAGTGTGTATATGATTTTGTAAAGAGAAATAATATATTGAATGTAAATGGAATAGAATTTATTATGACATCAAATAAAATAGTATATAATATCATATTGAATGAGAATGATATTCATTCATAGTTTGGGTTAGTTTATTAAAGATTGGGGTTGATATTGGGTTAGAGTTTATATTTCCATTTAGGGTTTAGCTATTAGGGGTTTGGATTTAGTTTATAGAAGATTGGGGTTGATATTGGATTAGGGTTCAGCCTCTTCGTAAACAGATATATTCACATCTTCCTGCATATTCTCTCATTCAACAACAAATAAGTGATCTCTTCCAATGATGATGTCTACCATCGGTTGGATATACCATACAAACGACCATCGGTTGGAATCCATTCATAATTATCTCCAAACTTAAAATAATGTCCATCATAATCAAAGTATGTGTTTGTAGTAGAAAGACTCATTTGCAACCGAAAAAAATTTAACCACTAAGTTATACCTGATTTATTCCTGGTTATACAGTTATAGCATGTTAGTTATACGAAGATATACTTTGTTACACAGTTTTGTCAATACCCAACTTTTTCCAACTTTTCCCAACTTTTCCCAACTTTTCTAGTTCTAGCTATTCGTCTTCTTCAATTCGTTTCAATAGTTATCAGCTTAGATTCCCGACGTTCTATCTTTTTCTTTTTTTCTTCTTATGATTACAGTTGTTAATTATCCATTCCATAATACACATTATGATCTTCAATTACTCTAGTCTAATTAGAATTGTAATTTGGAATCTCTGTAAATCAATCATGTATGGTGGTAAACATTGGGTTACGACGAGTTTGAAACATTTTAAGATACATGTCATGTCAATGAAATCAATAGCTCAATGATTTAGCATCCAAGCGGACGAATTCAACTGACTTAAGCGATGATAACGACGAAGAAGAAGAAATAAACGAATCCCGCGGATGAGAGAGAAAAAAGAAATCACTTCCGATTTGAAAATAAAAATAATTTAGAGAATTTTTGATTTTGACCAATTTTGACCGATTTTGATTGGTTATTAATTTGGTCAAGTAGAAAATGACACTTTCAACATTAACCACCCATATGAAGAGTATGAGAATAGAAAGGAGTATGTGAGCATGAATAGAAATATATCAGAATAATTTTGTTTCTTTAAGAGCAGTCCAGCATTTTATTTTATTTTCTTTATGAAGGATAAAGATGCTCTAACAGTCACGAGACAGAATATCAGAACAAACGATACACTAATAGTTTTTACGTAGATGCCCATTTAAAATTCCTTATTTCAGTTTGGTCCCAAAAGTGTTCAGCCGCTAATCCAGTGAATCCACCACCCTGGAAGTTTCAATTAATAACGTAAAAGCCAACTTTTACAGAAACGTGTCATTTTTAGTACCTCCGGCACACATGAATTGATTTCTCTTCAATGATTGAGTCGCAGTAAATGCAATTGATGATCAACATGATCTCTCTCTTTATTCTCTTCTTCTTATCTTCACCGATTCCTCCGCCTTTCTTGGTTTCACTACAAGACTCGAAACCCATTTGATCATCTCATATCTTTTTGTCGATTTAACGACCATTTTGATCAAGATTTGTTGTTTTCTTTTTCTCTCTTCATGCTTATTCCTCCGTTGATGGTCATCTATAATCTCTTAAAAGGTATTGAATGTTTTGTACTTTCACTCGTTTTGTTTAATTGCTTAGAAAACATCATAGGAATTAGACAAAGGTTCGATGTGACTCGATCACATTTTTTATTGGCGTTTTTCATATGTGGAATTTTATGGAACAGGGAAAAAAAACAATTGGTGTGCCTACTTAAAGCAAAGTTGGCTGCTTTATAACTCATTTTATTATTGACTCCACTAACATCTATTTATTTATATATATATATATATTTTATTATGTGTAGTAGGCCTTCATGTTAAGCTCGTGTGTTCTGATCCACTATTTTAATCTATTTTCAGAGGTTTAAATCTGTATAAGATCTCAAGGAAGACATCAGCTTTTGTACTGAAGAAAGAACGAGGGGAGATACAGGTAACGGAAACATTGTGAGTTATAGATCAAGATCTCTGCTTTGTTTGTTTGTAATGCACATCTTTCATGCAAGAGTCTTTAAGCATATATATATAAGATGAATTTTATGATGTGAAAAGTATGAATTTGATTGTTTCTTTAGAATTGTGATTTGATTTAGTACTTTATTGTCCTCAGTGGTTTCTACCTGATCATAGTAACATCTGAGCCAGTCATTCACTAGCTGACTTTCTTTTTCTTATATATATGTATATTTGAAAATTGTTATTTAGAAAATTTCTTGTTTTGATTGCTCTAGTGTGCTTGAGCACTAAATAATAATGGGCAGCAATTCACAACCCATTCGCGGTTTTGCTTCTTTTATGCTACCTTGTTCTTTTTCTCTTTGACTCTTTCTTTCATTTCCTAAAACCGGTTTTGCGTCAATACCGTGAATCTGCTCTGTGGCTATCTCTTTCGAAATCTATTGACATAGTTCTCTTTGTGAGTGTCTGAATGCTAAATCTTAAAAGACATCTCAATGTTTTTAGCTCCAGTGAGTATGGCCTCTTATAGTTGGTTGATTGAAATCTCACTGTAAATTAAGTCTTAAAATCTTTGAATGTGTCAAACAAATTTCCATAGATCTGTTCTTCTATCTTTTCCACTTTAAGATTTTTTTTTATAAAAATAATAAAAAATCTGTTCTGGAATGCTATTAACTCGGATAATATTATTGTGTATCTGTATAAAATTCATCTTCGGTATGCCACACACCAATTCTCAAGTTGACAAAAAATGCAAAATCTTTATATAAGTGTGATATCAGGGTGTGCTCTAATCTCCACATTCTTCTCAGGCTCTTATCAAAAGTTGGTTCTCTGCTTTATGAGATAAAAAGATGGTGGCTTTTGGGAAGTATCTGCAGCGGAAACAAATCGAAGAATGGAGAGGGTATATGCCATCTCTGTTTTAGCCACATATTAAAACTTTATGATCTTGCTAATGACGTTTTGATGATTCCTTTGTAGCTACTACATCAATTACAAAATGATGAAGAAGAAGGTGAAGCAATATGCTGAACAAATACGTGGAGGATCTCAACATCCTCGCCATGTTCTGAAAGATTTCTCGAGGATGCTCGATACTCAAGTATGTTATTGTCACACACAAACTGTCAAAAGATGATTTTGTTTCATTTGTTATTATCTTGCGTGCATCTCTACAAGGTTAAATGTAGCTTCATACAAGTAACCAGAGTCATGTGTTTATCATTGTTTCTGTTTATTAGATGAAACGTTTACCATTTTGAGGATGGTGAAACATTGAAACCGACTCATTGTTTTGCAGATTGAGAAAACTGTCCTTTTCATGTTGGAACAACAAGGGTTGCTTTCAGGGAGATTAGCCACACTGCGGGAAACGCATGATGCTGTACTTGCGCAGCCAGACATATCAAAAATTGTTCAGCTTCGAGAATCATACAGAGATGTTGGACGAGATCTTCTACAGCTTCTGGTATTCGTTGAGTTGAACGCCATTGGCCTGCGCAAGATACTTAAGAAGTTTGACAAACGGTTTGGCTATAGATTCGCTGACTACTACGTGAAAACCCGTGCCAATCATCCTTACTCACAGCTTCAGCAAGTGTTTAAGCATGTGGTAAATACAAAGTTTCTTACCGCTCTTTCATCTATAGGCACTTGTTGTTAGGAATCTTGAATGTTCTGTGTATGAAATTATAGGGTGTAGGAGCTGTTGTTGGGGCAATATCACGCAATCTTCATGAGCTTCAAGAACACGAAGGAAGTTTTTATTCAATTTACGACCAACCTGTTCTTCCTCTTCAGGTAAATTAACTATGACACATCAAGATCCTCTACTATCATGAATGTCATCTTATGTCCTTAAACTCCGCAGGATCCAGTGGTTGAGGCAATTAAGACAGCAGTGGACAAGTTAACAAACTCAACGAGTTTCCTCAACTTCTTGGCACAGCATGCTCTTATCATGCAAGATGATTTGCAGACTCCTTCAGAGGATACCATCGATGAACGGACTTACCATTTCAACTCGTTGCTCCTGAATTTAGGAAACACGTTTTTGTACATGGTCAACACGTATATCATCGTCCCTACAGCAGATGACTATTCAATGAGCCTTGGAGCTGCAGCAACGGTTTGTGGTGTTGTCATTGGATCTATGGCCGTGGCTCAAGTTTTCTCATCGGTTTATTTCAGCGCTTGGTCCAACAAGTCTTACTTCAAACCTCTTGTGTTTAGTAGCATTGCTCTCTTTATAGGGAACTTAATGTATGCGTTGGCGTATGATGCCAATTCCATTTGGCTTCTTTTACTCGGCCGTCTCTGTTGTGGGTAAGTCAAAACTTTAATATTCCTATGAAATGGTGTGAGAGAGGTAACCTTTGTTGTAACCCTTTTAAATTTTCAGGTTGGGGTCAGCAAGAGCTGTGAACAGAAGATATATCAGTGATTGTGTGCCTTTAAGAATCCGAATGCAGGCATCAGCTGGTTTTGTGAGTGCTAGTGCTCTTGGAATGGCTTGTGGTCCTGCACTCGCGGGTTTACTCCAAATCAAATTCAAGATCTACAAGTTGACATTTAATCAGTCTACTTTGCCTGGATGGGTTATGGCTGTGGCTTGGCTGTTCTATTTGGTATGGCTATGCATTTCGTTCAAGGAGCCGTTACGTGACACAGAGGAACAAGAAGAACAAGAAAGAAGCAATCAGAATGAAACAACTTCAAGTACTATACTTTTGGTGGATTTTGTATAGTAAAACTGCTCCTTTACTGATTGGAACTAGTTTTGATTGGACTATTGAATGTTATGCAGTGACA